CGTCCGTCCGTCCGTCCGTCCGTCCGTCCGTCCGTCCGTCCGTCCGTCCGTCCAACATTTTCTTTGGGGTAAAGAAACCAAGAAAAGAAGAATCATTTCAGAATCTGTGGAAACATTTCTGAGTGTGATTAATGAAGACTAATCAGGTGAGGTAAACCAGGAGCCAAAGGAAAAAAATTACATTTAACAGTACATGGCTCTTTGTGAACTGATTTTGATTCTATATGGAGGCTTGTTTTTTCCCCTCRCCATAATCTTATTTAAGAGGTTTTACCTGAGCTCTTAGCTGTCACCGACACCAGTGCTGACATGACATTGAACTGTAAGGACTAAGAGCGGATACATGTGAAGCTCTCAAATAACAAAAGAAATAGCTGTGTTCTTGGCAGCCCTGCCTTAACCAGCTGCTTTCAGACGAAAAACTGTGTAAATACCCAGCATGAGAGTGCTTTTGTGTGAGTTCGTCTCATGAGGATATATAGCTGTTTAAAGCAGTATCGGTTCAACTGTTAATATGTTGTGGTTAGGATTTTGTGTGTGTGTGTGTGTGTGAGGCAAACACTATCGCAACAGAAAATTTGTACTCGTGTTAATCATTCGTTGTTGTTGTTTTTTTTCGTGTTTGTTTTGCTTAACGATAAAAGAGTATCTGTATTTTCCTTATGCTCTGCTAGGAGCTGCAGGAACCACAAAGGTGCTGACAACAACATGAAAGGTGTTAAAAACAGTTTTCATTTTCTCACAAGGTAGTGACAGCTAGATGCAAGAACTTTTTTGCTTCAAAGCCTTCAGTTCACTGAAACGGAGTTAGGGTGTAGCCATTGTCAAGCAGTTTAGGTCTCTGATTTTTTGTTTTGTTTTTCCATAAATTTTTATGAGTAGGGGGAGCAGAATGAAAACTTAACCAAGCTCCGTTGTAACAGGGGTCACACCGTGCACCACCTCCCTACAATAAAGTGCTTTTATCCTTTTGTTGAACAGTTTTTGAACTCTGTGATTCTTTGTTTTATATAAACAAGGTGTTATTTGTCATTCCCGGCACAGTTCATCACATATTCAAACTGTGACAGTTATATGATATAACTATTTTTTTAATGAAATATGGTCTCATACATGCGAGTGATAATCAGTGTCAGCCTTTGCGCCTGCAATTTCCTGTGTGATACTGTGTCATGAAGATATCTGAGTGGTCACACAGGAAACCCAGATGCTTTCCAGGGTTAAASCAAGACGCAGCTTAAAACAAAAGAAAAACAAGCTTTGTTTCAGCTTCATTTTGACTGCGACTTGAATGAGAAAAAGTCAACCTGAAACAGTTCAAGAACACCTCGTCCTGTTTAAACATAAACAAGCGACAAGCTTCCTGTCACATGTTTTTAACTGCACCTTCAACACAAACAGTGAGAGTTGGAGCTTGACTAAATTCAATTCTACAAAATCTAAACTTTCTCGTTGGAATGGRTGGGGGGGCAGAAGGAATAGAAAATTATGGGTTGTTTTGTGGCATGTAGATTTAAAAAAAAAACTTTTGAAAGTTGCAACACAGGGCAGGGATTGCAGCTGAAACCACATTCCTTCTTGAAGAAGTGAAATTGCCAACAGTCTCATGGGAGGCAAAGGGATGTTATAAAGATACCAAACTTCTGCGTCTGTGTGTCTGTGTGTCTGTGTGGCTAGCCCCCCACACCTCTGCCCCTGCTGGTCTCTGTCGTCCCCCCCCCCCCCCCCATACAAGTGTGGTTTTCGTATGAATCCTCTGAGGAGACGTCCGTTTAATGATTGCTGACATTTAAACTGTTGCAAGAGACACATTTCTTGTAAAGCACTTGCAACAGAAGGAGTTGAAAACTTCTTACAACATCCCTGTAATGACCAGGTTGGATAAACTGAAGATGACCTGTTACCAACATGCTTTTAAAGTCATCGTAAACAAGATGTTTTAGTTGTCAAAAGTTTTTTTCTTATCACCAAACAACAATAACGGTGTCTGTTCCTAAAATGTCTCATAAACTACTTACCGGTAATTGATTTGAGTAAAACATGAATCATTGGATGATTAAGATGATTGCCACTGCTGAGATTAGCCAGCACACAAATGGCTACAACTCGATGAAATTGATATAGGTTGAGCTAAAGTTTAATAGGGTCATAGCTGAAAGTAGGGTGTCCCAATACCTGTTTTGCTCAAGCCAAGTACGAGTACATCAGTTTGGGTACTCGCTGATGCTAAATACTTACTGAGTTAGAACTTAAACATTACACAATGACTTTTAAAAACACATTTCTTTTATTTAGAACAAGGTGGCTCACCTTTGGCCTATAGCTCCTTTGACTGGATCAAATCAAATACACAGCATGGCATTTATAAGGTTTTCTTTCAGCTTGTATACATTTCTTAAACAGAACTGGCAATAACTTTTACTTGAACTGTAAGCTACAACACATTCATTGGCATTTCAATACTTGTTTTGGTATCGGTTCTGGGTATTGGGGTATTTTGTATAAGATGCTGGTATTGGTTTTGATAGGAATTACTTTCAGCTAGTGGTGTCCTGATACAGCGACACCGAGAACAGGGGTTGGAAGATTTTTTTTAAAGA